TTTTGATCAAGCACCTGAGATATACCTCGGAGAGGTGTCATATGTGATCTTCGTAGTTAATAGACTAGCGTATTTGTATTAACAAATATTGTGATTCGGTCACACAGAATTAACTAATTGATAATTGGCGGTTAGAGGTAATACCTCTATTTACAAGGGACACCAGGAAATAATAATAGTCACTTTTTTGTGCGAGGAAATGCAGAATTCCTTTCCTCTAAATGCGCTGGAAAGTATATTGAGAGTAAACAGTATTAATATTTTTCTGTAGGATCCTAAAATGATCGATTGTAAACTTCATATAGCATATAGTAGCCCTTAACATTAAAAATAAAAATATATGTTTTATTCATATCAATATACAGAATGATTTCATTAAGGGGGGCTTGATAGCCAACTTCATTAATTATGAACGGATATTTCAAAAAAATCAAACTGTTTTACAATAATCTTCGCATCATATTTTCAACATCTCTTGATTTTTTAATCTATTTATTTATCTATCTATTTTTTATTTTACATAACTCGATTTCCTTTATTTTTGCTTGCGTTTCCATTTTTAAATAGACTTTTCAGTCGAAAACGACTTTTTGGGAAATTAAATCATTTTATTTTTATTCCCTTACCTTAATATAAAAGTCACTGAACGACTCCAATTAGTGTAAATTATTATCATGTAAGCCAAACACGTAAGCATGTTTTCTATTGCATTCTGACATTATAAAGGTAGGCCTACCATTCGCTCGAGGGCGAGACTTTTCATGTCTTCCAAATAGGTCCCAAGTAAACAACTCTTTTTGAACTCAGCATTGTGTTCAAAGATAGTCTGCTGTGTATGGAAATAAACGCGAGGAATGGCGTCGAAATGCGGGCGGTCGCTCTCTCCTCCTTCACTTTTCTGGCGATAGACCATCTTACGTTCTTCAGTCTACCTATGCTGAAGAAGTCCTTGCAGGAATCCTTGTAGGAATCAAACAAACAAACAAACAAAAAGAAAGCAAAACAAAGCAACATTTCTTTACTTCTGAGTCAGAGTCTGCTGCTCTGTCGCCCTCCTCCTGCTTGACGTATGAGAAGATAATATGAAAATACGTATTTAGTGTACGCTGTTGCTGATTATTGTGTGTGTATGCTAGGTGCGTGAGGATGAGAGGGGCGTGCAGGGGGTACAGTAGCCTATCATATCTCTGTTATTATTCATGATTATGTAAAGATACTTCATACAATGAATCTTCAACCTCACAATATTTTTCTGGATTTTTTTCGCAATATATATATATATATATATATATATATATATATATATATATATATATATATATATAAATATATATACATATATATATATATATATATATATATATATATATATATATATATATATATATATATATATATATATATTTCAACCTGACGTTCCCCTTAACCCCAACCCCGTGTTAAGAAGGGAGAGTGTTACTGTAAATTCATGTCACTGTACTGCTTCCGTTAGCCTTTTCTTTAAAAAAATGCTGTAGCTTCGTGACACAAAGGTGATTGGTGAACGTGATTCTCTCTCTCTCTCTCTCTCTCTCTCTCTCTCTCTCTCTCTCTCTCTCTCTCTCTCTCTCTCTCTCTCTCTCTCTCTCTCTCTCTCTCTCTCTCTCTCGATTACGCCTTCATAATCTCTACTTCCTTCCTTCCTCTCTCTGAATCACAAGAACAACGAAAAAAAACGAAAATACAGAGGAACTAATAGACATGAAAACCTCACCTCTCCAGGCACAGAGGACTCTCCTGTAGTGCAATTCCCAGACACTGACAGACCCTTCCCGCGACCGAACTACTTGCCAAGGTCAGTGCCACGGGATATTGCCCAGCGCCTCACAAAAGTCCACGGCGACCCTTTCGCCTGGTGGATGGGACAGTTCTTTAAGTATACCATGAGAATGACCCGGGGATTCCAGAAGTATGTTGAGAAGCTTGGTGATCGTCTAGGCTTCAAGGGTCCTATTGTTGGGTGAGTTGAGCTGCGGGTTTTCTTTCCTATAACATGCTTGCAGTGGCAGTTTTTTTTTTAAACTATCGCCATTATTGATTGTGATTATTGTTGCTGTTGTTAGTCTTATGGTTATCATTTCATAGTCATGACTTATTATTACCATTAGTTATGACTGTGATTAATGTGATTTTGATTGTTCATGTCTGTTGTCGTTCCTTCCGCACTATCATCATGTTTCCCTGATTAATATTGCCATCAGTCTTGCTAATATAATCATAGGACTAATATTATTACTATAATATATCATTACGTTCGCAAATTGCTGTCTGTATACTGCTATTAGCATCCTTATCAGTATAACTATTACCGTGACTCTGATTTTCTTAATTATCACTATTATTATTTACAGAAATAGATATATATGTAGGTCTCGTTATGAAATTATTACATCATCCCACTCACCAGTTTCGCCATTGCTATTATTCCCTCAGAGTGCAAGTCAGAAGAACAGACAAGCTGCGCCACGACTCCAGACTCATAGGACTGGAGGAATACATGGAGGCCGTGGACGACTTTTTCGACGACCTGGAGCTTCGGGGGACGAAGGTGACGACTCGTAGGATCTACCTGGCCACAGACGACCCGCAAGTCCTCATGGAAGCGAAGAAGTTAGTGCGCTTAGGAGGTGGAAGAAGGAGCAAGAAGAAGGTGTTAGAAGAAGGTGTTAGAAGAAGGTGTTAGAAAGAGGTAGAAGAAGGAAATGTTAGGAGGTGGGCTGGCGGTAGTTCTGCTTTCTCTGGAGGTGGACAGATTTTATCTCCCCCCATCGGTGTATGGACTAAATTATGCCTTAGCCGATAGAGGCGCCTCTAGCACCCATATACGTCATCATTGCATCATTGGTGCGGAAATTGGTGCGACTCCAAGAGGATGATCGTAGTACCAATGTTAATGTCATTGGAGGGAAGCGGGAATCTGTCAGACAACCTCCGCCTTAATATGTCAGTACTTCAAAGGAAGCCTTCAATTTAATTGAAAATATTCAGAATTTGACATTAAAAATCTTCACTACGTACAAGGGGATGGCCAAGGCGAGGTTTGGCAAGATAGCTAGGTAAAGATAAGATAGCAGTTAACCAACGACTATATAGATAGATAGGTTCTTATATTGCCGCCGGGCTCTGATGGAACTTTGCGCAGGAGGCTATGCATAAAGACAAAAAGTAGGCCACTGCATGATGGGACAGCTACTAGAGCGGGTACGGTCTCACTGATGAGTCAACAATGTGTACTGGTATAGATGAATATTTTACGTATACTTCCATATACTTATATATAGTTTGGCGTTACACTCCCCCCCCCCCAGACAGGCGGCCTGACACACAGACCCATACCATATTTCCCCTGAAATGTTAACTACCCATTCCGCACACTTTGGGGACCCAGTGTGACTAAAGAATATTTGAAACCAGTTAATATAATGGAGCGCAGGGTACTCACTCAGTTACAGTTTTATCTTATCAGAAATAGAGTTGCACACCACACATGCGTCACGCGGTTATTAAAGATAGTTTCACAAGAATTGCCCATAAAAATTCACGTCCCCATAAGTCGCGCCAACTACATTAACATTGGTACTACGATCCTCCGCTAGGAGTCGCACCAAATCCCCCGCGCCAATATATAATGTATATATATATAAAGAGAGAGAGAGAGAGAGAGAGAGAGAGAGAGAGAGAGAGAGAGAGAGAGAGAGAGAGAGAGAGAGAGAGAGAGAGAGAGAGAGAGAGAGAGAGAGAGTATAGATAACCCTGTACACACACACACGCATACACAAAGTTTAAACCACGAACCCCTAACCTGACTTCAGATTCCCCAACCACACCTTTGTGTACAACGAGGAGAGCATCGCCACCGCTAGTTTGAGCCAGAGGAGGACCGAGGCCAACGTCAAGAATTTCATGGCTGATATTTACTTCCTCTCTCGCTCAGATTTCCTCGTGTGCGCCATGTCGTCCAATGTGAGTGTTCGTTCCTTTTTGTAAGTAGTTACTGCTGTTATCAACGAAATTCTTCATCAGGCCAAGATCTGGGGCAAAAGAACCCTCTATCTTTACTGTTGTTTTGGTCTGGATTCGCCAGTGATGTAACTATATATATGCATCCTTAATTAGACCGAGGTTCCTAACCCTGTTGTCTCGCTCGCACACAAGAAGCAAGGACATTTTGTCTAACCTAACTACTAGGAGATATTCATTCAAGCGGCCTGAGCTTTTCACGTCAGGGGATATGAGATAATCCGACCAAGAATTCAATCATTGTCATCACCATCGTCATCATCACTATCATAATCATCATTATCACTATTACTATCATTACCATTATCATAATGATAATAATAATAATAATAATAGTAGTAGTAATAATAATGATAATAATAATACTAATAACAGAAATTATGATAATGATAATAATAACATTAATGATAATAATAATTATTATTTTTATTATTATTACTATTATTATTATTATTATTATTATTATTATTATTATTATCATTATTATTATTATCATAATTATCATTATCATTATTATTATTACTATCATTATCAATATTATGATTAGTAATGGAAGTAGTAGTAGTAGTAGAAATATCATTATCACTATCAATATCATCATCATTATCATCATTATCGTCATCATCTCACCCCGGGCAGATATGCCGACTGGCCTACGAGCTCATGCAGACCCTCCACCAGGACGCCTCCAGGAAGGTCTTCTCCGTGGATTCGCCTTATTGGTTCCACTTCCAGAGCGACCATGAGGTGGAGGCGAGGTACCCCCACACGCCCCGCAGGTCGGTTCACATGTCTGTTTGCCCGTTTGTCTGTCTGCGTCTTTTTTTTCGCTTTCTATCTCGCTTTCCTATCTCGGTGTCATTTTTCCTCCTCAGTCTCTCATCCTCTCTCTCGGCCAGTTGCCTTTTGTGGCGTCCTTATTAAGGCTTCCTGCATTTTTT